ATCGCATGTGGACCATGACCAAGCACAGCCTGCCCCCTGATAGCTATGCAGCCGTGGCGTCGCCCTCCGCGCGCATTGCTGACGGATCCTGCGCGACGATGAGGACGGAGCATCACAACCTTGTGGTTTTAGAGAGTGTTCGGCACACGAATGCCGCAGCACAGGCGCTTTGGGACGACATGGCCTTGGCTGCAAAGTCTAAGCCAATCAGGGCGCTGTTTGAGTTTTGCCGTGATACATATAACCGTAGGTCGTTCGCTGGAAGGCATTTACTGAAAGGTATGCTTTGGACATTTGCGGACAACAAAAGCTGCGAAGACACCCATGCCACGTTGCGGCTTGATGCTCGGGCGAATTCCAATGCAAAATTCAGCGCGACAGGCTTCAATATCTAGTCAACGCGAGTGGGGTTTTCGATGCGCGCGGTGTGCCTCGCAGACCACATGTGAGCAAGCAGGATTTCATCAACCATTTCAAGGTGCTGAAACCAAGGGCAATGGCATCTAAATACAGGAGCTGCAGGCACAAGCTACCAACGAGCTGGCCCAATATTCTGGGGAAAATCATGGCCTACTTTGAGCGAGGAGTGGGCGAACAAAGCTGCAGCGGCATGGGCGTGGCTACACGAATATACTCGGCGTCGGCGCGTTGGCAACCCTGCTAGCTTGGGCGCGGCCCGTTTCACGAGGCTCGTGCCAGCTCTACAAGTCGTCCAGTGCGGAGACAATTTTTGGTTGTCCCTTGGTCACCACGCGTGGGCCTTCTTGGGCTGGCAGCTGCGCCGTGACGCCGTTGACGACATCACGTATTTCACATTTACCAAGGACCAGGGCCTCGCAAATATTGCGCTGTCGTTGTTCGTTGACTGCTGCGCCCTCCTCAGGCTTTAAGTTTTTGTTTGTTGTTTCGATTTTCTGGTTTCCAGGGTTCGCCTCTGCGGCCTAGGGTGTTCGGGCAATGCTTCTGATGGGGCAGGGCGCATCAGTCGGTGCAGCTGCGGCAATGTTTGTGCATCGCCCTGAGGATCCCGTTGCTTGGCTCCATGTCGCGGACCCATCCGACTGGAAGGTCGCCCCCGCAGTGGCATTCGCGCTGGCCGGCGCTGGAGTGGTCATGAAACAGATCGCAGAACCAGCTTTTCTCATGAGGCACGCGCTGACGACATATGCTAACACGCTGAACTTCCAGGACCTCTTGCAGCGCGCTCGCTTTAACAGCGACGTTGGCGTTCCCGAAGGGGCGACGACTCCGAGGGACGCTTGTAACATCATTGGGAAGTCGCTGGGCCCCGACGACCCCGCCAACGGCGCGGGTGAGATGATCTACGCGTCCTTTACGTCCGACGTAGGTTGCACCTCAGCGTTCGACGACGCGATGGTCGAGATAGCGTTCGAGGACCTCGACGCTGAAGAGAAGAACGAATTCCCAGAGGTCGGGAAGGCCATCAAGGAAAGGAAGATTCGGCAGCGATGCGCCGAATACAAATTGCACCAGAATCGGAAACTCGCTGGCTTGGACACTGCAGGCCCAAAGAAAAAGAAAGCGAATACAAAGGCCAAGGCGAAGGCCAAGCCTGGGCCCATGGCAGGCCACCCTCCTGGGGAGCCGCCGCCTCGACCGCCACCACCACCGCCGCCACCTCCACCGCCAGGGGCAGTGCCAGCAGGCGCCGCGCCAGCGCCTCCAGCGCCCGCGCCAGCGCCAGCGCCACCAGTACCAGGCGCTGCGCCAGCGCCGCCAGCGCCCGAGCTTCCGCTACCGCCGCCAGCAGCAGCCCCCGCGCCACCAGCAGGAATCCATGGTCATGGGCCACCTGTTATCCAAGGCTTGGTTTACACTACTGCTGGGTGTGCGCATTGCGGCCAATTGAACGGCCAATTCCAGCTTCACGCCAGCCCTGGTTTACGCGACGCGCCGTCCTGGAAGGTGCGCGTCTGGGATACCGCCGCAAACAAATGGGCAAATCGATCGCCGCTGTTTCGAGTGCTCACACAGACGCCAGAACGAGACGAGGCGTGGGCGCGCAGGTGGCTACATGATAACAGAACGTGCTGCCGTCCAGGCTGATGCAGACATTTGGGTGGCAGGGTGGCGCAGTGCCTCCTGCCGTCCAGGCTGATGCGGGTTGCTGTATACATTTGGGGTGGCAGAGTGGCACAGTGTCTCCTGCCAGGCTTGGGGCATGGACCTGTACTGACTCAGTACTCGCCTGCGACAACAAAAACACATCATCAGCATCATCATCATCATCACCATCGTCGTCATCACAATCGGTGCCGCCACCATCCTGATCTTCACCATCTTCATCGTCATCATCGAACCAATTGCCATCACCATCATGATCCTCACCATCGCCACATCCACCACATTCCCATTGTCCCCACGCCGCTGTCCCCACCACCACCGTCCCCACCACCGTCCCAGTGTCCCCACTGTTCCCACCATTGTCCTCACCATTGTCCCCACCACTACAGTCCCCACCACTGTCCCACTGTCCCCACCGCTGTCCCGCTGTCTCCTCACCGCTGTCCCCACCACCGCCGTCCCCACCACTGTCCGCACCCCCCCTCGGTTTTCGAGGGGGGGGGAGGGGGGTTCGAACCGGTAGTGATCCCCCCCGGTTTTCGAGTTCGAGTGGGGGGGTTCGAACCCGTAGTGACCCCCCTTTTCATGATAAGTTGGGGGGGGGGGGAGGGGTTCGAACTGGTAGTGACCCCCCCGGTTTTCCGGAGGGGGGGGGGAGAGGGGGGAGGGGTTCGAAGCGGTAGTGGCCCTCCCGGGTTTTTCGCCAGCAGCGGTAGAACACGCTCTTTTACACATCTTAAACCACTTTAACATCGCAGCTGCATCACATTTACAAAGGATTTACACCGCATTCACTCCAGCCCTCATTTCACGCGCGCCAGGGCCTCCCAGAGATCCCGCCCGCGCCCCCAGGAATGCGGCGGAGCCGCCTGGGGTTGGGATTGCAATGAATCATCGGCGCAGTTCTGGGGTGCCCACGGGCTGGAAACCGCGCCCGGGAATGCGCCAGAGGGCGCGAATTCAACGGCCCGAATCATTTACACCACTTCTATACCGCTTCTGCGCAGCCCCTACAGTACTTCACCAACAGCACGTTTACGCAAAGTTTAACACCACTTGCTACACCGCAGTTGTACCGCATCTACACCTCGCATAAATTTGCAAAGCGCTCCTGCGCCCTCTCGTGTACAGTGCGTTTTTGCATTGAAGAACTGCCGATGTGCTTGCGCGGGCCACGCGCGGTGCGCGTTGGTTTGACGTGCCAATGGCCGCCAGGGTCGCGAAGGCCGCTAATCCGTTTTTACGCGGAACTCGCGAAGTATATGTTCCTGTGCACGCGCGCGCCAGTTCGATGCTATCCGTTCCTCTACACGAGTACCCCCTTAGATTCAGGGTTGCCCGCGAGTCCAGTTATTAATCGCTTCGCTCATTCCGCCGGCCCATAATGTCGCACCGTGGTCGCCTGTCCGAGTGGTCGTTGGCAGTGTGGAGCTGCGGCGTCGGGAGCCGAACGCGGGGGAGGAGGACCACCCCGACCCGCGTTTCCCAAGTCGCGTCTGGCTGGAGTCTTGGAGGCGTCTTGGGGGCTTCCTGAGGGTTTGTTGGAGGCCTCCAGAGGGCCTTTTGGAGGCCTCTTGAGGCCTCCAAAAGGCCTCTTGGGGGCCTCTGGGGGCCTTCGGGGGCGTCTTGGGGCCTCCCGGGAGCCTCTAAGGGCCGAGAGCTCGAAATTCTGTTTCGTGAACCCCCTCTTGGGGCGTTCTTGAAGCGTTCTTGGGGCCCTGTTGGGCTGTCTTGGAGGCTTCTTGGGCCGTCTTCGAGCCCTCTTGGGCCATCTTGGGGCCCTCTTGGCGGCCTCTGGGGCCCTCTTGGGGCGATCTTGGGGGCCTCTTGGTCCGTCTTGGGGCGTCGGGAAGCCGAAAAGGTGGAAACTCCAAAATCTCTGAAAAACCTAAGGACAAGCAATCAATTTTGCCTCCTGGGGCCCTCTTGGGAGTGCTCTTGGAGGCCTCTTGGGGCGTCTGGGGGCTATCTTGGGCGTCTTGCAGCGATCTTGTGGCATGTCGGACCCCTCGTGTACCATCTTGGGGGCCTCTTGGGGGCCTCTTGGCCTTTCTTGGGGCTCTCGGGGACGTCTCGGAGCCCTGTTGGTGCGCTCCTGGAGCGCTCTGGGGGAGTCTCCCGGGGATCGGTCGGGGATCGCCCGGGGTACTTTTCGTCCGGGGACCCCCAGGGGCCGCCCCGCGCGCACGAACTAGAGAATTGTTAACCAGTTACCGGAGATCTTAGCACGCCTCTGGCCCGTTGGGCCGGCGAATTTGAGGCCCTGGAGCGGAATTTTCGCAGCCTTGGTGATGATGGGGCCCGTTGCCCCGATTTCTTGCCGCCGCCCCCCTGCGCGGGCCCCGTCGACCGAGGCGATTATTCTGCAGTCGCGGACCGCCCTGAACATTTTCGCCAGAGAGCACGCAGAACGCGCCGTTGGCTGTCGCCGCCGCCGCGACTTTTACACCGCGGCACGCCGCGCTCGCGCTCGATCGCCACTGGCCCGCGTGGAAAAACTGATTTCGAAAAGCAACCAACTGTTTCAACATTGTGAAAAGTGAATAACATAGCCCTGCGGAGGTCAGCGGCCCTCGCGCGCTTGCCTTGGGACTTACGAGCAGGCCCACTACTCTGCCAGCGGCTGCACTTTGCAGCCTTAACAGTCGGGGCGTCTGTTCAGATCGTGTGCGATGAATACCGGCAACCGTGCAGATCCCTCTTCTTGCCCGCATTTTTGCCCCAGTGAGCGGCGTCCTCTCCGGATATCCTTTTCCAGGAGCGCGACCGGCAAAGAGAGGGGGAGGATGATGGAATGAGGGATGAGGGCGAAGAGGGAGGTTGGAGGAGCAGGAAGGTGTGAAGGGAAGGCGGGGGCGGGAGGAGGGAGAGCAGTGTTTCATGAGGTGAGTGGGGGGATGCTGGGAGGGCCCGAGGAATCTGGAGCTGCTCGCGGAGAAGCCGATTACGAAGGCTCTTCTTGTGAGTCTCACTGAACTAATATGTGCGGTCTCTCTCTCTCTCTCTCTCTCCCTCTCTCTTTCTTCCCCCCTCCCTCCCTCTCTCTATTCCTCTCCCTCTCCATCTCTCTCTCTCTCTATTTCTCTATTTCCCTATCTCTCTGTTTCTCTTTCTTGTTCCCTCCTCCATCTCTCTTTCAATCACTCTTTTTGTCGTTCTCTCTCTCTCTCTCTCCCCCTCTTTCTCTATTTATCTATTGCCCCCTCCCTCCTTCTCTTTTCCTCCTTCCCCATCTCTCATCCACCTCTCTCTCTCTCTCCCTCCCTCTCTCTCTCGATGTCCCTTTGTCCTCTCCCTTCTGCCCCCCCCTTACATTCCCTCTTCCCGTTGAGTTTCCCTCTTGCCCCCCCCGTTCCTTCCTTCTCCCCTTCTCCCCTTTCAAGCTTCAGAGCCCCCACCTGCTGACTGTGCACCACACGATGGGGTCATGCGATTTTAGAGACCAGGGTCCATTGGGACGCCCCTTATCATCCCCCTCCCCTTCCTTCCGTCACTTGCCCCGTCCAGTGTTCAGAGCCCCCTTTGTTGAGCGTGTACCGCAAGTTGGGGCCATGTCATTTTAGGGATCATGATCCTTTTAGGGCACCCCAGTCGGCGGATAGAGCAGTATTCGGCGCATTGTGAAGGGACGGATGGCAGGGGTAGGATGCCAGATCCGGCTCAGGCTCTCTACGCCATCTCGCCTCTGTACCCAGGTGGCTCTGCAGCTATTTGCCCAGAAACGGAATCCATCACGATTTTCACTTCGGGCTCTGGGGCTGCCCCCCCTTCTCCGCGCGTCCCCGTTAGAGATGCCTTTCTTTCCTGGCTGTCTTCCCTGGTCCAAGATCACCCCAGGACGACCCCGAAACCAGCCCCGGCAGGCCCAAACAAAGGTCACCGAGAGGCCACAGGATGTCCGCACGAGGCCCAACGATTCCCCTTGAGAGTCTTGCACATCTAACGTTTGACTGAGACCTCTCGTCTCCAGTTTCGCTCTGTAATCGCTTCATGAAGGCATGGTGTCTTCGCGCAGCTCGGCGCGCCACAAATTTTGCCGCTTCTCCCTTACTCGCGGACGCGTGGCTCTTCTTCGCAAAGGCTCGCGCGGCCTGGGCGCACGTCCCAAGGGCGCCGCGTGAGAGCCAGCAAAGGGGGCGGCGCCGCCGACGCCTCTCCTTTGGCGGTTGCCAGGGCTCTTGGTGACCGCGGCGGCACTTGCGGCGCGCGCAGCCAGCGCCAGCCAACCGACGCCATGACCGATTTGAAAGCATGGCGCATGTTGCCGCCATCGTACACTACCTGGGCGGGCGCCCCAGCACAGCGGCGACAGTGATGGCACTACCAAGCCACCCGCACTGTGTTTGTTTGTCCGCACCGTTGCCATTGCACTTGGCCAGCCCGATAGGAACAGCATAGCGATTGAGCGAATGGCGCTTGAGTAATCTCCCGTCTCCATGCGCTCCCCTGCTTTCCGACGCGGTCGGTGGGTCGCCGCGGCGAACAGCGGTTTGCTTTGTCAGCTTCGGCAAGCAGCCCCCCCGTCGGCAGGACGTTCACGGCTGTAGCTCATAAAGGTTACACCGACATCGACGTTGACCCACCCACGTTTGGCACATGAGTAGGTCGTTCCCCAGTCGTGAGGATACAGACATTCAGTCTCCCCTGCATCTATTGTCAGTGTCCACCGTTTAATTTTCGTGTCAGGCGTGGTGCAGCCACACATGATTCCGACACCTTGTTTGACATAGTGAGACGCACCATGCGCGGTCATAGTCGACGCTCTCGGTGGCTTCTCTCAAATACGTTCCAGCTGTGCCACCACACGCATGGTACCATTCTCCGCACTTCAAAGACATAGCAGGCACGGTTCTCGTCGACGCCCTTCTCTGCTTTCACGTCCTATATTGTGCCACTCTGTGCGCGGGCACGCGCTTCCTGCGGGCACGCCTATTGGTCACAATTGTCGCACACGGTCAACACAGGTGCTACAGCATGAGATGGTCTGGCCTCCCCACTTGCCGAGCTCAAAATCCAACCAGGGCTGTTCCCAACGTCATGCTTAAGTCGCCGCCTGCACGTGGCGCGCGCTGGCTGGTACAACGCCTACGTCACGCCCGACAAGCCCTGAGCCGGCCGCTGTCGGGCGCGATCCGTAGAGCTTGCGCACGGGACGGCGATGGCCGTCCGTGCACGTCTCTCTGCTGTTCCCGATCCCCGCGCATTCCCTCCAGCGTCCTCCTGCTGGCCCCTCTTGTCAACAGTTCAGTTCTTTTTCTCCCTTCCAGGCCCCCTCCTCCACCCCCTCCCCGCACCAATTCGGCGTTGGAGCTCAAGCAAGAGCACCCGACGCGAGGGCACTTAATGCGCAACGTGCCTTCACAAGACTTTCGGCAGTCAGCCTTTCTGCCCTGGCCAGGGGAGGAGGAGGAGGGAGCGAGGAGCTGGCACAACCGCACTTTCGGAACCGTACTTCTTCTTCAGCTATTGATTTTTTGCGTGAGTGAAGATGACCACAGCGGCTGCCGATTACGGTGGCAGCGCAGGGTGCCCAGGAGCGCCACCAGGATTCGGAACAATACGCACGCGACTCAGGCGACAGGAGCAGAAATGGACCTTTCAGCTAAAACACCTGGAGGAGACGTTCTATGTTGAGATTGAAAACCGAAGCAGGCCCACATTTCTGGAGCAAAGTGCGCAACCCGAACCACCACACAAAGAGGGTGAGATGGTTGATAATATTCCGTGTCCGTCGGGCTTGATGCTTGAACTACTCGCTCAACCACCTATTCAAGATTGCTTGGCTTCCCTTGCGTCCGCATTGCAGGAATATGCTGTTGAGCCATTCGGGACAATCTCCCAGGAGGCATTTCGCGATGCAGGCAGTTGCTCCGTTTCTCGATGTGTTGTTCAGAGCAGCAGAACTTGTCCTGAGACGTTGACAGAGAAAGGACATCACGGATGATGCATGTTTTAGGGACAAGAGAGCAATACAGCGGCACCATCAGAGTAAGATGGGCAGTCATCCATACAGCGCAGTATCGATCAGCGCAACGAGTCACAATGCAGTTAGGAAGATATGGTGGACGACGTGTACGATTCAATGGGTCCAGACGGCACACAGATGGATGTTTTTTTGAAGAATTTGCAAACAAGAATGGGCTTTGACGTCACGAGGGGGGAGGAAGGGGGGCGCGGTTGTCCCCGCTCCTCCTTTCCTTGCCTCTTTTCCTTCTCTTCCCGCCCCCTTGCCTTTTCCTTCCCTCCCCCTCCTTCGTCGTCCCGCCAGCCCCGAAATAAGAGTTCGTTTAGCGAGGCACGTCCTCAGTTCGGGAGGGGGTGGAGGCGGGAGGGGGGCGGGTCGCTTCCGCGCGGTGTCGTTGGACGCCCTCCTCCTCGCGCTGGCCCGAGCGGCCCTGGCTAGGGGTCCGCGGTGCCACACCTTTTTAAGCAGAGAGTGCGTCAGGTCCCTGCAGCGGGGCCCGGGGTCTAGAGATGTCCCGAGCCCTATCGTGGATTGTCGTTCGGAGCCCGCCCCCAATGCTATGAACCTTAACCTTGACCTCCCCGCACCAACCAAGCCGATAACCTCCCTCCCACCCATTCCCCACTTCCTCCCTCCTCCCCCCGTCTTCCACTCTCCTTCTTTATCTCCGCTTTGCACTGGCGTCCGTCGCTTGGGCGGCCGCTTCTTTGCCGCTGTGTCCCGCAGCTTGCATTTCAGCTTGATGCCTCTCGCAGAGCAAATAACGGTTCGGAGATATCCGCGGATTTCTTGGATTGGCGCTTGTGACCGCCTTTCCTGGCGAAAGAATCCCGCCAGGGGCGGCGGCAGAGGCGCCGCCAGGGGGTCCAGTGCCGACTCGAGAGATCCGCGCAGACTTTCGAAAGTGTATGTGTCTGGTGTTTTTGTTTGCGTCATCTGTCCTCTTGGTGTCTTCCAGTCAGCCTGAAGTTATCGATCCGACTGCCCTCGCTCATTGGCTCGCACGCTCGTTCCTTCCCTCTTATTCGGCAGGCGCGCAGCGTCCTGGTGGAGGCCGCGCTCGCTTGCTTAGGGGGGGGCTGCGGCGTGGGGAGCGTCGTCGCCAGCTGGTAGACAGGAGGTTGGTTTTGCTGTTGTTATTGCTGTTGGTGATGGTGTTGCTGTTGCTGTTGCTGTTGTTGTTGCTGTTGTTGTTGGTGGTTGTTGGTGGTGGTGGGGGTGGTGGTGGTGGTGTTATTGGTGTTATTGATGTTGTTGTCGTTGTTGGTGTTGGTGGTGGTGTTGTTATTGGTGTTGTTGTTGACGTTGTTGGTACTGGTGATGGAGTTGTTTTTGAATATTCATTACTGAACAATTATTATTGTTGGTCACCCCCCAGGCGCCCTGGCGCTCTCGCCTCGGCGCTGGCTACTTCTTCATGGAGAATCAGGATCACGCTCGAGCGGTTTGGGGGGGCGCCAAAACCGGCCTCCCAACAACAACAACGCTTCCTCTCGACACTTTTTTTTCCGGTGCCCTTGCTCGCCGCCGAAATCCGCCGCCCCCACAAATTCAACGCTCCCGCTCGGGATTTCTTCCAGTTTTACCTTGGACTGGCGCGCTACTCTTTCTCTCATCGGCGCCGCCCCCAGCAGGACAACGCTCCCGCTCGAGACTTCCTCCATGCTCAGAGCCGGTGCTTTTGCTCGCCGCCGAAAACCGCTGCCCCAACAAAACCGGCGCTCGCGCCCGAGATTTCCTCCCGTTTTATGCTGGGATGGCGCCCAACTCTCTTTTGAATTGGCGCCGCCCCCAGCAAGACAACGCTTCCGCTCGAGGCCTCCTCCCTTTTTCTTGAAGACGGTGCTGTTCCTCGCCGCCGACCGCCCCCGTCCCAACAACACCGCGGCTCCCTCTCGAGACTTCTTCCCTTCTTACTCAAGGCGGTGTTCCTCCTCGCCGCCGACAACC